TAGTAAAAGAACCAAAATTTATCCAAGGACAGAGGTGTTGCCATTTCCAACTATAGACAAACTAAAGTTGTCTAATGAAGGTCTTTTCTTACTTTCCTCTACCGAACAATCAGAAAAAGCTCTTCTATACCAACGGAGTGATAGGTCTAACATCTTACAACTCATGCTTTCCCACATACTGCCAATCAGAGATCGTTATGACACTCCCAACTTTCTGTCATGGGGTATTTGCATGTCATATTTTTAGCAAGAAACTACATAGTCTTTATTATAGCACCACTGCAGGAAAAAGGTTATGAAATAATTCCATCTATTTGAGCAATATTGTCCTTGCAGAGTCATGCCTTAGCTAGAAATAATGCAGGATAAGAGCTCCAAGTTGTAGAGAACCTGATAACACAGCAGCAGCCATGTTATTTAGGAATTCGCTTTTGCTTTGGTATTGAATTTTAGGATTTAGATTATATTTTCCCAAATTAGTTTTCCTATTCCAAGTAGTACTTGTATATCTTGGTATTAGTATTAATGTTACCATTTATATTTTTAGAAATGCTTAATCTAGTCCCATTTAGGCAAGGTTAATTAGAAACCACTATAAATTCAATAAAAAGTCCTTTGAAAATTTTATCAATCTTTCCAGTTAACCATAATGATTGAGAATTCTTACATGTGATACCTAACAAACATTGGATGTAATATCCAGGTACTAATCCATAATTTTTCCTACATCAGAGCCTCAAATTAAAATTTCTTGCTCATTTAGACGCTTGTTAGTGCAACTTACTCGTGACCACTCATAAAAACTCCATGCACTAGATTGCCTAAACAACACCTTGAATCTTTATCAAAAGTGTTATCTGAATTTAACTTTTACGATTCTTCAGACAACTTATATGGCTAATGTCTACTCAGAATGCACCTGATACAGAACCCAGCACATGCCTTCCACTTCAGTTTATATCATTACACTAGCACAAAAGTAATAGTAACTTCTTTCATACAAACATTTACTATTGGAGATTCCCAACATCCAGGAAAGTTCACAGACAATTCTAAAACAAAGAGGAGGATAATGGCTGTGGACAGTAACCAAGATTTCAATTTACACTAATAATATTCATTGTCCAAAGATCCTTGTGGGGCATACTGGAATAGCTAGAAAAAATCAACACAACAAAAATAAAAATAAAACACCTTTGCCATTGCAGAAGTTATCACTTGTGGAATAGGCTCTGTTGTGTCACCAATTCCAAGGCTTATCACTTGTGCATCAGGGTATTTCAGCATATGCGCAGCCCTTCTTCTGGCAATCTACTTACATTGACAATAGAAAATAGAAAATTATGCAGGATTATCAAGAGTGAAAATTTTCTTATCTGCCATGTCAGATAGCCAATTATATATTATATTAAATATATACAGAGAGAGAGAGAGAGAGAGAAGTGGAAAGTAGGTAGCACTGCCAAGGTACATATATGAGCTGATAAAGTAGCCCAAAAATAACAAACAAACTTCATGCCCTCTCCAGTTTATTGGTCCTTGATGAAAAAAGCATATAAAGTCCAATAGTTATCAATATATCTCAACTAGCATGCAATGTCCTGGTCAGACCATAGACAATTGAAATGGCATCTAACAACAGTGAGCTTATAGTTGGAGCAAAGGATGGAAAAAACGAGTTAATCTTAAGATGTCCTAAAGGAATTGTGAACAACTGATTGCCATTTAAAAAAACATAAGCATAAAGTTGGAGAGAAGGATTGAAATAGAGTTAATTCTTATGAGAAGAAAAAATTTCGTAATTGTGAATTACTATTTTACTTATCCAAACAGTCTTAAGTTTTATAATGTACAAGACAAGCAGCTTAATAAAGAATGGATCTTTCAGTACAGACCTCTGGAAACAGGTAACCAGCTTGAAGCTTCGCCATGTTTGCATTGCGAGAGACCTTTGTCTTGTAAGCTTAACAACAAATAACAAAAAAACCCTTAAGCATTGTAAAATGTATAACCACCAGAAATCAACGGCTCAGCCTAGTGCACATCAATTGGTCAACTTCCAAGTTTGCAACTGTCTAGAAACACAATAATTAACACCTAACACTTCTATTTTTGTAAGATCCAATACCAAGTTCTCTCCACAATGCAGCCTTAACACGTTCACAAAATAATATAAAACCCACATATATCAAGAACCAAACACTTCGAAAAAATTTATCTCAGTTAAACTACACTATTCTATAGATTACACCCTCAATCCGATTACACCCTCAAGTATCATGAGAATTCGGGAAGTACATACTATTCTATAGATTTCCCTCCAGCTCTACAGCGTAATGAGACATTAGATGTAAGCTGCATTCTCAAGTATAACGAACGTTCCATATAATATATCATTCTACAAATTTTCCTCAATCTATAAAGTATAACGAAGCATAAAATAGAATAAAACGTTGACCGAGAAAGAGAACCAAAGCTTGTACCAGTCATCTGTTCTTGGGGTGTGACGACACATTTGCACGTACCCATTCTTTTTGATGTTGGAACAGAGACATTTTGTGTTCTGCAACGCAAAGTCGAAGTTTGAAATGAACGAAAAAAATGGAAGTTTAAACAGAAAAAAAACTAAGTATATGCACTTAAGCTGCTGCTTCACTGGTGGGAGAAACAGGAGGAAAAAAAAAAGATCCCTGAGACCTTGTAAAACTATATCAAGTGAGTTTTGGCTGCAGATTACCATAGAAGGAGCTAGATAATTGGATTAACAAAGATAAAAAAAGATTTTAACTTTTGGATCCTGTTCCATTTTCGGGCATTTCCTCGGCAACCAAACAACTTTCCCAATAACAGTAAACACTCAACCTTGAATTAAAACTTGAGGGTGCCAAGAAAGCAGAGGATGAAGAAGAGATCATCGAGGTCGACAACTGATGCGTTAATGACATCTCTGCTTTTGCGCTTCCCTCTTCAGAGTTCGACTTCCTAACCGAAAATTAATGCCAACAGCGAGGCCTTTACTTTGTGCAGGATTAGGGTTTACAACGGGAGAAGACTGCTGATAAAAACCCGTTCTTATATTAGAAGTGCGTTTATGTCCGTTGGATGAAGTGTCCGGTTGGAGATTTGTGTCGGATCATTGCAGGGGGATCACGTTTCCAAAAGAATCGAGAAATGATTGAAAGTCAAAGGGTGTTGTAGTCAAATCGGATGGAGATTAAAGCTATTTAGCATGGGCTTGACCTCACTGAATCAATAACCACGTCACAGTCTTTTGACGAACGTCTTGCGCTCACGCCACTCCTGCCGCGTCGGTAGGTGTCCACGTGGTGCCTTTATCTTGAGTTGGCATGTTACGTGGTATTTATTGTTTAACTTTGGGTGAATATATTTTATTTTAATTAAAATAAATTATCAATGTTATTTTATCTTTAATTAAACTTTGAGATTGTGGCATCTCTAATGCTTTAAAACTAGCAATTTTCACACAATTATTTTATTTATTATTTATTATTAATAAATTAATAATTTTATAAATATTGTGATTGTTAAACTAACATTATTTTTATTATTTTTGTATTAATATATATGTTTTATTAATTTACAATTTTGTATATGCTTTATAAATTTGTACACTGTTATTTTATTGAATCAATAAATTCTTATATTTATTATTTAGAACAAATTTTATATTAAAAAGAGTGATTATCTATTAAGTAATTAAATTTTAAAATAAAGTCATAATTAAAAAAATATATTTATCTTGAGAAAGAAATAAGTATTCCAATAAAAATGATAATATTTAATACAAACTTTACATTTTGTCATCTAAAATTATTTATAAATTGTAGTGGTTAAAATTTAATCAAGATTTAAAATATATTAATATCTTAACTAATTATAGTATAAAATATTAATCAATTTGGTCAAGCTAAAATATTTTGTTTATTTTATACTTTTTTAAACTCAAATTATAGTTGATGATTATTTCTATTTAAAATCAAAACTTTTTAAATTTACAATTTGATCCAATATTTATTAATCAATTTCACATGAAATTTTGAGTATTGCTTTATTTAATAAAATAATTTCATTTATTTTTTGAAAATAAATTTATCAATTAATTAATTTTGTTGTTATGAGATCTTCACTCATATTTTATCTATCATTCTCATAAATTATTTTTTATTTATTTTTATTTTCACTTAATTTTTATCAAATAATATAAATATTATATTTTTTTTGAATCATCATTAACAATTGTTTCACAAATTAAATTTATTTATTATTGAAAAGAAAAAAGGTTAAGCCAGCATTTTATATATATTTGTTCAAAATTAAAATTAAAACTAAAACATTTACGTATTATATATGTTTTTCCCCTGGGCCCTACGCTTGTTTCCCTTCTTCTTCCCGATCATTCTCCTCCTCCCGGCTTTTGTTTTTGTTTTGTTCCCTCTTTCACAGATCGAGATTATACTTAATCCACGAACAGCCCAATCTAGCCCGACTATCTCCTAGAGTTAGGGTTTTCGAATTCTGCGAACAAAACCTATAATCGTACCTTTACTTCCTTCGACTTTTTACGTCGCTGAATCAATGGTAATCTCTCTCGACTCACTTTGTGCTCGAAGTTCTATATGCCTTCTTGATTATCTTTTATTTGTTCTGTATATAAACAAGTATTATCTTATACTCGTTCTGTGTGATTAGATGGATCTGGAGACGGAGAATAGAATAGCCAAAATTCTTTTGGAAGAAGCAGCAGAGTTGCGGCGGCGAGCAGATAAAGAAGGTGTGCATGTTTATCTTCAGAAGCCTGGAGTAAGGGGCCGTCCTAATTCACGCTTCCTCACAGCAACCGTTCTTGGTGTGCAGCAAGGTCTCTTCTTTAATTTGCTTTCGCTTTTTTTTTCCTGTTCTTTTTTTTTTTTTTGCATTCATATTATATTTTTGGTTTTAGTGTTCAGCACCTTGTTTTTATGAACCGGAGGCTGTAAGTGTGCGTGGCTTAGCTCAAAAGAATGAAGAGTGTCTGCTTAAGAACATATTTATAAGTTATTATGTATTTTAATTAAAATTGGAAAAGGTAAATAACAGTTTTTTGACTTGGAAGTATTTTGGACTAGTTTTTAGAGTATTATTTTGTATATTTTAGAGTGTTTGAGAGTAATTTTTTCCCCCAAAAAACTACCTTGCACAAGCATTATAAGGAGTCATGAGCTAGGTTCATAATCTATTCATTCATTTGAAACACTTCTCAATGTTGAATCAGTCAAGCCAAACAACCTTGTAGTGAGTGTAATTGTTTGCGTTCCGGTGAGAAAAGGTTAGTATAGGGAGCGAGAAAATATGGTAGGAATTAAATAACTGTAATTGTCCTACGCTTCCATGGGATTGCCTCAATGGGCATTTTTGAATGTTGATGTGGTCTGGAATCTAGAAACCTAGAATAGTAAAGTCAAGGTCTATTACTACCATTAGCAAGATTCTAATCTAATTAAGGTGTATCAGAAATGAGCATGTTTTATCTTCATCAGCATCCATTTCTTTATATTTGTCCCTTCCTGTCTTAGATATCACATCAGCAATATGAATGTTCTGTTTTGGATTTTTCTACAACTCTTCAAACTCCTTTGTGTTTCTATCACAAAGCATGTGTGTAATTGAGCGCCTCTAGTATTTTTTCAAAACATCTAATAGTGGTTACAAAAGCATTCTATGTTTAAAGCCTAAAAATATGAGTGGAAATGCCTGTTGGTATGTGTTAGCATCCAGGAGATACACGTGTAAAGATTTGTTGGCAAACCCATCAATGGATTTTAAGCAGTTCCTCTATATTTTCGGCTCCAGTAATAATAAAGAGAAGATGATAGCAGACAGAGCAGAAGGGTGTAAACCATTTCATATAGATAACTGCAAATCTTGCATGGTAGGAAAACCAGAGTCTGGTTTTACTTGGTTCTCTCTCTATCTGTGCATGTCTCCTCCAGTCTGTCAAATTCTACAATACCTGGGAACAATTACTCTTAAGGCTACAGTGACTATTGAGTTTATCTCGTTCCTTATATTTGACAATTGATTAATAATATTCTGAACCTTAATGTCTAAAAAGAGAGTGGTAATACTTTGGGCTTTCATTTAATAAATATCATTTAGTGGGTTTTAGCAGTTACTTGATTCACACTCCCAATTCAAACTCAACTTAGGTAAGGTGTGAGAGAAATAACAGATCTATTTTTTTTTCCATTTCTTCATGGGGGCTAGATCTAAAATAATTCTGTTACGGAGGACATGATTTCAAAGATAACACAAGAAGCAAAAGTTCCCGGTGACTCTATTCTGGCTATATTTAACCTCCTTGGTTTAAATTTGCAAGAGAGCATGTTTATTAAATTGAAGGTTCAGTGTGGAAATTTTGCTGGTCTTTGTTTGTCCAAAGTTGTTTAGGTCTATATTTTTCCAGTAGGAAACCTGGCTACCAGGACCAGAACCTTGGCTTGGGCATGATAGATACAAAGGAGTGATGGAAATCGGCCCAGTTGAATCTCTGAAGATATTCTGGAATCTGGACTTTAATTATTGTTTGAAATTTTAGAAACCTAGTTTAAATCTCCAGATCATCAAAATCATAGTTGGAGTCACTCAACTCTCTTGCAATTTAAAGATTGAATTTCTTGGACCGGTTCGTGGCACGGGTTCGCTTGGATTTATATTGGTTCTCGATTGAGATCACAAAAGTTAGGTACCCTGAATTTGGGCCAAGTTGGTAGAGGAATACTTTAAATAGTGAGAGGAAAAAGGTACCAAGAGAGGTAGTGAAATCTTTAATAATCATTATTTCAAAATTGAGATTATTTATGGGTAGAAAATGGAAAAGTAAGTACCCAAGTGAAGAGCAAGAGTCCATCAAACAATTTTTTCTTTGTTGGAGCCTAAAATAAACTGATTGTCTTAACTTGTAATTAGTAATTTATATATGAATATTGATCCCTTTTTTTTTGTAAAAAAGATTGGACAAAGAACAAGAATGAAAGGAGCAGAATGTTTGATTAAACAATTATATGAATCTACCAAGTGCTTCAATGTAACTTTGAATAAAAACAATTGTACTGGCTAAGTCTGTCCCCCTTCTAACCTAAATTTTGCATTTATAATATTTGTACTTGTACCTTGTCCACATTCGGGCATATCATGTTTCAGTAGCTATGGTCAAAAAGTTAGTTTGTAAATTGAATACTCTGTTTACGCTATCTCTGGAACAATGAATTAACGAAGTGTGAAATTATTTACAGACAAATTTTTATGTTAAAAACTATTGTAAACTATGGAATTCATTTTAAATAAATTCTATATGCAATTGAAAAGGTACATTTCAAATTCTATCTAACAGAACTTGGAAACGAACCTTGAGTTTGGGAGGAAAAAATTTGAAATGACCTTGTGTTTGTGCTTGTATTTTCTTTTGAAAGTAGTGATTCAATTTTTTAGGAACAAAACTATTCAGTCAAATTTCAAAAATACTTAAAACATAGAAATTCATTTGTATATGTATTCAAGTTTTAAATGTAATGTCCAGTAATTAGCAGCTGGTTATTTTTATGAAAAAAAAAGTTAGCAACTGGTTAGAACCTTTCTTCTAGTTATAGTCAAAGTCTAATACCAGGATCTGCATCTCCTTAAGTTCTTCGAAGTCCTGAAGATCGGTTTTAGGCTTGTTTTGCATGAATTCTAAGGTAGGAATGAATTAAGTTCTGTGTCTACTTCTTTGGTATTATTTTAGAACTACCTGGTACTTGCTAGGCTGTTAAGGTATGTCACTCCATTCTCACACATTCTCTATCCATCTATTCTTCCTTCCTGTCCTGAATTATTGGGCCGCGTTAAAGTTCTTATTTTCCATTTAGGGTTTCGATCACTATTAGATAGCTCGCACAATAAATGGCTTCGTTATTTCATCAGTTATGGTCAAAATCCTTGGATTTGTTAAAAGTGGTTTCAACCTGCTGCATGTTGCCCTTGCCTTTCATATTTTAACAAAAGGTGCTAAAATACATTTGCTCAGACAACTAGGAAGGCATTGATCTTCCTCAAGATCTCGGAGGAAATGGATTTGAAACTCATTGAAAGTACTGGGGATTCCATCACGAAACCCTTCTTTTTGCAAAATCTTCATTATTTCCATTACTGCTAAGATCTGATATGCAGATAATAGTTTGTGTGCAACCTTTCCTTTCCTTATTGTTTTTGCTTTGAATTGCAGCAAATAAAGCCGTTGAAGTGAATGAGATGTGGCGACTGCGACAGAAAGAGCTTGAGCTAGATGATAGGCGCAAGGGCAGATCTAGAGAAGAGAGCAGCAGTGGCAAAAGTCATAAGGACATCCGAAGATCTTCCAGCAGCTCCATTAAGAAATATGCCATGATTGATGAGAACACTCAAAATTCTTGCCCATCAAGGAAACGAATAGTTGACAGATCTTGTTCAAAACAGGATGAAGGTTTAAGAGATGAAGAAGTTGAGGAATTTCTACAGTCAAGGTATGTCCTTTATTTCCCCACTTTGCATCTGTACGGGCATGTTCCTTGAGTCTAATCCAATCCTTGGTCTATGTCAAAATATTTAGGAGAAATTTTCCTGTCTATAAAAGTTCCTAAATTTCCTTCTCATTGAGGCTAATCCAATCCTTGGTCGATGTCAAAATATTTAGGAGAAAGTTTTCCTGTCAATAAAAGTTCCTTATTTCCTTTTCATATATCTTTGGTTGGCATCTTTGGTTGGCAACAGGCTTAAGCGTGGTCGAGGTTGCGTGGGTTCAAGAATGGATGAAACGGGTCCTTATCCTTGTTCACCCATCTCTGAGAGGCTACCGACAAATTGTGATGAAAGGGATCAAAGAGTTGCCCTTGGTCCGGCAAAGCCATTTTCCTTGAGGTCCAAGGAATCCTCTTCTAGTGAAGAGGAGCATCATGAGCATGAGCGAAAAGAAAAGGACAAACACCGATCAAAACGCTCTGAAAAAAGGCACTCAGAGAAGCATAAATCCAAGCGTAAGTCTACGGA